TCACGGACCGCGAGATCGTGACCTGGCTGAAGTCGGACGCTTAACCGACTGCGCCACCCAGGCGCCCCAAAAGTCAGGGTTTTTAAAGTGTAAAAGGAATGCCTGTATATGTTAAGATTTTTCTTAATGTTTATTTTATTTTTGAGAAAGATAGAGCAGGGAAGAGGCAGAGAGGGACACAGAGAACCTTAAGTGGGCTTTGTGCTGACAGCAGAAAGCCCGATGCAGGGCTCGAACTCACGAAGTTCGAGCTGAAGTAGGACGCTTAACCGACTTAGCCACCCCGGTGCTCTTTGCTCCTTGATGTTTTGACACGCCACCAGTCGTCTATTGATTCTGGTTTTCTTAAAATTGTGAAGACTATTTTGAAAATATTATTAGAGCCTGAACATCTTAACATGGTTTTCTAGTTACACTCAGCATTTTTCTACCTCAACGATTTGAAGGTTTATAGATGAGCTAAGGCAATAAATAGTCCCAGGGTAGCAAGTTGTCTCAAAAGTGTAATTTAATGCCTTCTTTTCAAAAGCAGCTATTTGGTGTTGTGAGTATGCAGTTCCAAATCCGAGATTATTTAACCCAGGTGAAAGTAAGAGCATCTGGCCAGTGAGGTTGAGGGACTCCAGGCTTTTCTGAAGAACCAGACAGCCAGCTGTTCCCCTTGGGTCCGAGGCCATGCCACGTGCTCACCAATCCCATTTCATTTTCCAGTATCTGGATGCATGGGAAGGGGACAGTCCCCGAATTCTGTTGCATTTAGGTTTCAGTTACATGGCCGGATCCCGGATAATGAGTTGCATGCGAAACTGAGCGGAAGACACATTTTCCGAATGGTACAGCTTCAGAATGGTGGAGCTCCTATGCCTTGGGTGACTTCAGTGTGCAGCACAATCTTCCACTGAGTGTTACTGATCACCTGATTTAAGTAAGGAATAATCTTTTGTTGGGTTAGGCTGCTGAGATTTGAGGGTTTTCTGATGAATCTACCCATCATTGATAGGAACCTGTGACCGAACTGAAAATTTATTTATTTTTAAGTGTATTTATTTTGAGAGAGAGAGAGTGAGGGGGGCGGTGGAGAGAATCCCAAGCAGGCTCCACACTGTCAGCGCAGAGCCCGACGGGCAGCTGGAACTCATGAACCCGGAATTCACGACCTGAGCCGAAACCCAAGAATTGGATGCTTAACCGACTGAGCCACCCAGGCGCCCTCTGAACCGAAAATTTGGAACTGAGGTTAGAATTATACTCTGGTTCCTAGGCAAACATTTCAGAAAAAGCTACTTTACTCCACAACGTGGGAGAGTTTGTGAGTAAACCGGCATTTTGCTGGGGTCCTTCCTTTTTTTAAGTGAGATCATTTACTTACTTATAGATATAACCAGAGGGTTTCGTTTTATTTTTTTCGTATGTTCTCTCCAAAACTTTTTTTTTTTTTTTTTAGAGGCTTAGTGTTTCCTGTGGCCTCCGGCTTAACTGTGGGAAGACTTCCAGGGCCAGAAATCACCAGTGTTTTCTCTTTTGGAGATATAAGTCTGTCTTCTGGGTACCCCATCCCTAAAGGGATAAAGTGTTTTTAGAAAAGAGGAACAGAGAGCCGAGAGAGAAATAAAAGTTCTTGCTTCATTTGACTTTCCATTTCCTGAGAGATGTACCTAGAGCCCTTGATCTTCCCTTGGAAACGGTCACTCTCCTCCAGCTCCCCCCAACTGCCATTTGGCTTTTCTATCCTTAGCTTTGCCTTTTGCTTCCCAAGTACCCTTTGTTTCACATCTCTCAGTCTGAATACTCTCTCCTCCTTGTCAAAAAAATCGCATCCCATTTCACGTGGAAAGGCCTCTGTGTTCAACACAGAGATGCACCACCGAGATCCGTCCGGAAGAAAAGATGTGCTAGCTAGTGGTGAGGAGTGCAGTTAGCAGGCAGCTTCCAGCCCTTGGCTCTTCCAGGGTGGGCCTTGTCTGCAGAGAGCTGCCTTGTGGAGGTCATGCCCTTCCAGGACAGCCCCCGTCCAGTGGCCGAGGGAGGCCGTGGTATAAACACCCTGTTATTTTGGCCAGATGGGAGAGAACTCTGGCGATCAATTTTTTTTTTTTAGGATTTTACTTTATTTTTTAAAGTTTATTTATTTTGAGAGACAGAGAGAGAGAGAGAGAGAGAGAGAGAGAGAGAGCAAGCAGGGGAGGGGCACAGAGAGAGGGAGAGAGAGAAAGAATCCCAAGCAAGCTCCACACTGTCTCAGTGCACAGAGCCTGATGTGGGGCTTGAACTCACGAACCGTGAGATCATGACCTGAGCTGAAATCAAGAGTTGGACGCAAAGCCACCTGAGCCACCTGGGCCCCCCCAAAGATTTTATTTTTAAGTAATCTCTGCACGCCATGTGGGGCTCGAACTTACAACCCTGAGATCAAGAGCAGCTTGCTTTACCGACTGAACCAGCCAGGTACTCGGCAGGCAATTCTATCTTCAGAGATTCCCCTTGGGATTGAATTAATCAGACTGGCTCGGTAGCCCAGCTTCTCCTTTTGTTCCCCCTCCTTTCAAACATGTTGATTGCTAATAAGCATCTTGCACCCCAGACTCTGTCACAGCATCTTCTTCCTGAGAGCTCAACCTGTAGGAGGCTG